ACTTTCCTTCTCCCCAAACATAATCTTGAGGGGGAAAAAAAAGTTCTTATGTTTAAAAATACTATTCAAACTTCAAGGTTCTTCCCCAATACAGGAAGCCTTCCTGCGGTTCCTCAGATCTCTCCTTTGTAAGTGCACCATGCCTCTCCCTACCTTATAGCACAACATTCTGCCCTACTTATTATTTATGCTTTCTTTCCCCGAGGTCTCACAAGGTCCTTGAAGGCAGGTACCATGTCTTTTGTTCAGCGGCCAGAAAAGCACAGAAGTGGGAGCGGGGTAGACAAAGAGAAGATGAAGAGAGGAAGAAGAAGAAATGAGAAAGCAGTAGGAGAGTGTGGTGAGTGGGAAAGTTCAGTTTTAAAGTTTCCTTAGTCATTCAGAAACTTTTGGCTAAAGACAGATCCTCCAAATAGCTAACATATTTTCTTTCCAGAACAGTCCTAAGACACTGAACAACTTTTCCCTTGTTTTGCCGACGCTGCACCTCCCTTTCTTCTTGTTTCCTATCTCCATTGCTATTGAGTCAAATATATCAGGGCAACATCAAACTGCGGTCATTACTCTGGCCCTGAAGCAGGCTCATACCCCTTTACATCTGTCAAACCTCCTTTGCTATTGGGGGTGGGAGGGTTGGTCAAATCCTGCCTTATGGATTAGCTATAGCAGGAGTTTGATCAACATTCCTAGAAGAGTTACCTTTTGATATACATTTTTATTTGAGATTTACAAAAGCACAATGCCAGCAACTCTAAGTATGGCCAGAAGCGGGTTCATTTGTCACTCTTCCTAACTGCATTCTGCCCAAAGAAATCACAGCAGCTCTTCACAGGCACTCATGGCCTCTTCCTTTGACAACAGCTGTCTTTCGCGAGGAGGCAGAGAGAGAGCTGACTCTAGATAAGCTACTCACTTCATCCTGTCCAGAAAGGCAGTGCAGCACCTTATTTCCTGGGATAGTAGAAAGAGTTTCAGTTTCCACCTAACTCTTCCTGGAGGAAGAAAAAAGAACTGCACCGCGGGAAAAGTAGAGAAACATATTTCATTCACATATGAAATATAAAACGGAAAGAAACAAATGAACAAACAAGACAAACAAAAACTCAAAGACACAGACAACAGTATGGTAGTCACCAGCGGGGAAGGGGGCAGGGGGAGACAGTAAAGGGTAAAGGAGGTCAAATACATGCTGATGAAAAGAGATTCGACTTGGGGGTGGTGGCCACACAAGATGATCTAAAGATGATGTGTTATAGAATTGTACACTTGAAGTCTATAAAATGTTATTAACCACTGTTACCCCAATACATTTAGTAACAATTTTTTTAAAATACAGTTCAACACAGAAGTCTATTGCACCAGACACCTGGGCCAACGCCCCTGACAAGGGCCCTGCTTCCTTTCCCCAGATCACCTCACTCAGCTTTCTTTGTTACACCTCTACAAATTTTCTCTGCCTCCATTTCTCCCCGTAATGACATCCCCGGACCAAGAAAACAAGGTATGTGATAGAGACAATAAAGGCCAAGCTATCCTATCTGTGTCTCACCACTATCGTAAACCTTCCCCAAAGGAAGCTCATGCCCTGGTTTCCTATTTGCTGCCTTGAGAGAATAAGTGATGCTGCATCACCAGAACCCATAGTACGTTGCTTCCCGTTTCCTTACTGCTATTCTGTTTACAACATTTTGAAATAGCTGACTTCACAGCTTTTGCCATTTAGTAACCCTTCCACATAAGGACCTAACATGAAATCCTTAAAATGAGCTGAGTAGACATCAAATACTCAAAAGTCCAAATTACCTAGACTGGTAGAGGTTAATGTTCTGCATTAAATACGAACAGAAAGTATCAATTTTGTACTCTGATTATATCTGCCAAAGGACTGAGTCAAATAAACACATAAAATATGATAGATGAGGGCAATAGGGTAGGAATACCATCACAGTTACTTAGAAAGGTCTGAGAAGTGAGCAAATGTAGGTGTGTCCTAACCTCCTTTCACCTCTACATCCTTCTGTCGGGACCTTCAATTCTCCTTTTCCAGTGTAGAGCTGACTGAGAAATAACCTCTTAATATTTCATTCTATTTATAATCTTGATAGCCACATAACCACCAAGGGCTGCGCTTCTGAACAGGGTATATGGCAGCAACCCAAGTATCTGCGATTACTAGACAAATAATTACAAGAACATAAGTACCAATTTAAGATTTTTCACTAACCTTGTCTTTCTACAATGTTGGTTTATCAAATTAGCTCACTCCGACAAAGAGTAAGTCCATCATGTGTTTGCGCAGCTTAGAACTCACCTTCCTTCTCATTTTGTAGGTAAGGAACAGGTCTGGAATATTGTTATTTGATTAAGGTTAAAGTCTCTTCAGTCACAGAGAGAGCATCGGGACAGCACTCTAAGACTCTCAATTATTTTCACAAGCCTTCAAGAGTGAGCTTGAAATACCAGCCTTCATTACCCAGAGCATTTAGATAAACCTTGGAGTAGTTGTAAACCAACTACTTCTAAGGAGAAAAATGATCCACCTTCTGCCTTGGCCTTTGCTAGAAAGCAACCCCTGAGTAAGTCCAACGAAGAGGCTGTAAGGGGCCCTTTGAGGGGCAGAGTCTTCCAGTGCTATAGTCAGATTTCTGTGTTTGGATTCATAAAATCATGGGCAAGTGAATGCAAACTAGTAAGAGGGCATACTATGTGTGGGGTCTTAATATAGTGTTACTGGTCATAGCATGAGTATTGTTTATGAATTTTATACTCTTCATACAGACATTATATGAAAGCAACACTCAAATTTGGTTCACAATTCACCTGAAATAAAACAGGGTAGGAAAAACTGGCGGGTCAAAACACAACAGGAATTGTAGTTGTTTAAAAATGTTTAAACGACAGGTTTAAATATATTATCAAGAGTTCAATTATTATAATAGGTTGAAAACATCTGTCTCAAAAAGTATTAATCATGTCATAGTTAAAAAAAACTGCTATAATAATGTCAGTCTCTTTTAATCTTACAGATCTTAACTTACCCATCTGCAAAACACAAACGGTAGAGTTTCACATCCCAAGATCGACGGCAATACACCATAATGTTATTGGCACCCTGCTAGAAAAAGCGCGTATAAAGAGCATAGTAAAATAATAGTCGATGACATTGGTAATTTCATATAGAAAATATAAAATCAAATGAGAGCACGCATTCAAACAGAAGTTTGTACATCAATGTTCATAAGGACATTGTTCAGAATAGCCAAAAGGTGGAAACACCTAAACGTCAATTACCAGGTAAATGGCTGAACAAAGTGTGGTGCATACATACAATGGACTAGTATTTGGCCTTAAAAAGGAATAAAATTTTAATGTATGCTACATCATGGCTGAACCTTGAAAACATTATGCTAAGTAAAATAAGCCAGACTCAGAAGAACAAATATCCTAAGAGTCTACTTATATGAGACCTAGAAGAGTCATATTCATTAAGAGACAGAAAGTAGAATAGCGGTTACCAGGGACTGGGAGAGGGAATTTGGGAAGTTATTGCTTAATGGGTTCGAAGTTTGTTTGGGATGATCAAAGTTCTAAGATGCATAGTGGTGATGGTTGAATAAAAATGTAAATGTAAATGCCACTGAATTGTATACTTAAAAGTTATACTTAAAAGTTATATTAAAATGATAAGTTTCACATTATGTATATTGTACCACAATAAAAAAATCAAATGAAAAATACTAGGTGGCAGGTTCTTTTGTGATTTCGACCCACATGATATATGCTCAAAAAAAAAAACAAAAACAAAAAAACAAAAAAAGCAGTATCAGCCACAGCATTAGAAATATTAATATTTCTAACATCTACCATATAAAAACAGACTTGGGTTCATCAACCCAAAGCCATTTATCCTGTGTGTTTGTTACTAAAATAATTGATGCCCATCACGATTATGAATAATGCATTCACATTAAGCACAACTTCCAACCAAACACAGAGAAAAAGAGAGAAATTGAAGCAATGGAAATGTGTCAACACACTGACACAGCAACCATCTGTTGACATTACTGTCCCCGGAATCCAAGGGACCGAAATCATGTGGTAGGGCTGGGAGCTTCACCTTCGTTGTGAAGTCCTACTGTCATGTCACAGGGCACTTCTGGAAGGAAGCCCTGCCGTGGCCGGCTCTGAGTCCTTGCAGATTTCCTACCAGTCCTGCTCAGGAAGCCATTCTTGTGGCTCACCTGCGCCAGTTCCTGTTGTGAGGCCAGGGGGCTGGTGGCTGAAATCCAGCTCCAGGGCTGATGTCATCTTGACTGAGCTATGATCCTGGTGACCTGCTCCCCATCCCGCTGTTGTTGCAGCCCTTCAGCTGGGGTTCAGGTTATAAGGGGACCAAAAAGGAAAAAGGGGCAGTAGGATAACAGAAAAAGGGAAAACGCTTGCACATTTCCTTTGTTTCACTAAAGCATTTTCTGCTTCTATTTAATTTGATGGGAGGACCTGACGGATGGCAGATGGCAGATGCTCTTGGAATAGGGGTGGACTCTCCCACATCCCTCAAAAATACAAAGGATTAAAACATACAGAAAGCTTGCGCTGTTTCTGGTAGCTCCAAACTTGGAAATAGCAACTTATTCTTTCTTCTCTGAATAAAGTTTAAAAAAAAAAAGAACCATACATTAACACTATAAAACATTTGTAAATTGTTTTAAACAATTCATAACCACAGGACGTATCTTAGCAACAGAAAGAAGTAATACAAATGTTTGAAGATGGGAGAATATTCATATTCTTTCTACAAAATGTCAGGTAAATTTGGAGGTCACATCTGGAAATCCTGTCACTATAAGTAATAAAATAGGACTGCCATTCAATTCCATTTAGATGATGAGATCCTTTGGTTCTTAGTATACCAAGCCAAAAACTGAAATGATGTCAAGTATAAGAAATAGAAATTTCTAACATTCCAAAATAAAAGGAAGAGAAGTCTTTCTTTAAAAAAACAAACAAACAAAAAAGAAACCCTACGCAATTAAATGACGGAGAGATTTAAATTTTTACCACATTTATTTTACATCATGATTTCTTAATCCTTATTAAGATGATACAACTTGGGGACATATTCCCTTTTTGTTGCATATGTATTATTAGTAGGGGTAGGAAGAACGGAAAATGAGAGCATAGGCCAGGGGTGTAGGAAGTAGCGTTGAGGAGAGAGACAGAGCAAGTGTTTGTATGGACCCTTCCGTGAACAGTACCAACCAACCAAGTGCAAAGTTGACACGATGAAGTGTTTCCTTTTCATGTGGACTTCTGAAAGTATGAAACAATTTGGGACCACATTCAGCATACATTAATCACATAGCATTGTGATACGTGTTTCCTATCAGACATGATGAGTATATTCTTTTTTTCCTTCACTTTTTTAAGCTCCACAGATGACATTATGCATGAAGCACTTCTCATATAGTATTCAACAAATATTAATTTGATCATATAAAACAATCTTGGCTAGCGGGAAGCATGGTTAGCTGCCATATAAAGGTCCTCCTTTCAAGTAACACTTCATTGTACACTTGGAGTTTCAGATCAGAGGACGTTCTTGATGGGCATTCCTTTCAGCGGGCTTTACAACTCATGTGCAAACACTAAGTGCAGATATAAAGATCACATCTTGGTTAAAGGCTTGTTCGTAACAGCCCCTTGCAAGTGTAGCCAATATCTTGTCCCGACAGTAACTGTAAGGGAGTTGTTCTCTTTCAGCCTTTTCATCGCCCATTTCCTCTGCCGGTCTCACCCCAATGCTTCGGTGCTCTGTAAGTGACTGGGAGGCACAGCGGCCTCTGCGCTGGGGACGCCTGTCCCAGGGAAGGTCAGAACGTGCACAGACAACCCTGCGTTACGTTCATCTCATCAGCTCTGCCCAGTCCACAGGGGTAAAAAATGGATGAGATTTGATATCTTCCACACCGGCAACTCCAGCACCAAGACGCTCCACAGGGTTGAACTGCAAGAGCTAAAAAAGAGGATTTAGTGACTAACAGGAATCCAATAAGCAAATCAAAGGAAAACAAAAAGTATAAAAGGAAAGAACTTGTAAATTCAACCCCAGTGACAGATGGACTTAATAGCCAGCCGACTGTATTTTCTTGAAAGGAGCTACGTCTAGCATCACTCTAGCTGTGGGGTCGGGGGTATCTGACTTTATGGCTTTTCAACTGATTTGAAACATGACCTTGAGTAGCTTGCTTTGTTTCTCTCATCCTCATATAGTTATACCTATGAATTTCCTACTCTAAATGTACAGTGTGACATTAATTTGATATTGCACCAAGTTCTGAGAGGTCCAGTTATTCCTTTCATGACTACACAGAAAGTTTGGGAGGCACGACATGTCTTTCAACCCCTCGTGAAGGATATGTGCACTGGGACTGAACTTTACCTCAAGTCTAAATTAGTCAATTCATACTCCAAAATTGTCTTCTTTAGAATAACTGAGTCACGTGGAATAATTTGATCCAATGAGTAAAATGCGTTTTGACTTCTTCACTATTAGAATTCATGTATAAAATAAGTTAATAATATCATATGTAACAGAGTGTGGGAAACAGAAGTACTCATATATAACCTATTGCAATCATGGGAATGCTGGAAGAATGTGTCTTCAGACATTCACACATCTTCAAATTTTTGTTTCAACAGCTTTACTGAGGAACAATTTATACAGCATAAAATTCACCTACTGGAAGTGTACGATTCAATGATTCTAAGTAAAGTTAAAGAGTTGCACAAGCATTAGCACTATCCAGTTTTAGAACAAACACTTTGATCACCCTGAAAAGTCTCCTCACGCTGTTTACAGTTAGTCCTCACTGCCATCCCCAGCTCCAGGCAACCACTGGTCTGCTGTCTGTCTCTATAAACTTGCTCTTTCTGGGTGTTTCATGTAGTGGAATCATAAAGTCCACTGTCTTCTGCAGCTTTCTTTCACTTTGCATGTTTTTGAGATTCATCCATGTTACAGCAGGCATCAACAATCCATTCCTTTTCATTTCTGACTAGCACTCCACTGTTTGACTATAACACATTTTGTTACTCTATTCACCAGCTGACGCACCTGGGCACTTTTCAGGTCAGGGCTCTAATGAATATAACTGCTATTTACCTTTGCATGTATGTCTTGGTGTGGACATATGTTTTCATTTCTCTTATGAACATTCCTAGGAGTGGAACTGCTGAGTCATGTGGTAAGTTCAGGTTCAGCTTTTGAAGAAACTGCCAAACTTTTCTAAAGTAGCTGTACCATTTTATATTCCCACCAACAATATGAGGCCTCCAGTTCTTCTGCATCCTTTCCAATGCTTGATACCATCTACCTTTTTTTTACTGTAGCTCTTCCGGCGGGTATCAGTGGTATCTTATTATGTTTTTAATTTGTACCTCCTAATGACTGGTGATGGGAGCATCTTTTCATATCTTTCTTAGCATTTCATACAGCTTCACTGGTATATCTTTGCCCATTTTTATATTGAGTTGTCTGCTTGCTGAGTTCTGAGAGTTCTTTACACGTTCCGAATACAAGTTCATTATCAGACACGTGGTTTGCAAATATTTTCTCCCAGTCTGTGGCTTGTCTTTTCATTTTCTACTAATGTCTCCAAGTATAAAAGTTTTAATTTTAAGGAAGCCCACCTTTATCAATTTTTTCTTTTTGGTATTATGGCTAAGAACTCTTTTCCTAATCCAAGGTCATGAAGATTTTCTCCTGTTTTCTTTTACAATTTTTATAGTTTTAGCTCCCATAGGTCTATGAGCTATTTTGAGCTAATTTTTACATATGACATGAAGTAAAGGTCTTAGTTTATTTTGGTTTTACATGCAAATATTTTATTTTCCCAGCACCATTTGTTGAAAAGACTTTTTCACCATCAAATTATCTTGGCATCTTTATAGAAAATCAACTGACAATAAAGTATGGTTTTATTTATGGACTCTCAATTTCATTCCATTGATCTATATGCCTGTCTTTGCTCCAATAACACAGTAATTAAGTACCGGCAATTACGGTCGCTTTATACTGACTGGAAATCTGGTAGTGTAAGTCCTCCAACTTTGTTCTCTTTAAGACTATTATGGATATTCTAGGTCCCTTGCCTTTTCATATACATTTTGCAGTCACCTAAAGGTTTCCCAATTTTGCTGATCTTTTCAAAGAACTTGTCAATATCTTGATTTTTCTCTTATTTCTCTTTACTGTTTCACTGATGTCTGCCTCCTTTCTTCAGCTTGCTTAGATTTACTTTGCTTTTTATAGTTTTTTTCTCTAGTTCCTTAAGGTGCAAGGTGAGATTTTTATTTGAGGCCTTCTTTTTTGATATAGGTCTTTAAAGCCATAAATTTTCCTCAAAAACTGATTTAGTTGCATCCTATACATTCTGATATATTATGTATTTGTATTTGTTTTTAGTTCATTAAAAACATGTTATAGTTTCTCTTGGGATTTTTTTTTCTTTGACTCATAGGTTATTTAGAAGTGTGTTGTTTAATTTTCAAACACTTGTGGACTCACAAGATCTCCTTCTGTTGATGATTGCTAATTAAATTGCTATGGTCAGAGTATGTTTTATGATTTCAATCCTTTTAAATATTAAAACTTGTTTTATGGCATATTATATAATCTATCTTGGAGAATGTTCCATATATATGTGATAAAAAACGTATTCTGAAACCACTGGATGAACTGTTCTCTGCATACGTCAATGAGAGTTGTCTGATAATGTTGTTCAAGTCTTCTCTGTATCCTTGCTCATTTTCTATCGATTATCAAGAATGGAGTAATGAAGCTTCCATTTATTATGACTGGATTGCCTACTTTTCCCTTTAGTCAAATCGTGCCTCATATGTTGTGAGGCTGTTATTAGAGTAATGTATCTATAATTGTTATATCTTCTAAGTACTGACCCTTTTATCATTAAGAAACACCTGTCTCAGTATCTAGTACGTTTCTTACCTTGACATCTATTTTGTTTGGTATATAATGCAGCCACTCCCACTCTCTTAAGGTTACTATTTGCACAGCTTTCTTTTCCCATCCTTTTTCTTTTAACTTATTTGTGTCTTTGAACTTAAACTGTGTCTCTCATATACAGAAGATATTGGGATCTTACTTTTTTATACAGGTCAACAATCGCTGCCTTTTGTTTGGCATGTTTAGACTTTCAAATTGAATGTAATTATTAATAGCTTGGGTTTATATTTGCTATTTTGCTACTTCTAATAGATGTTTTCTACATCTATTGTCCTTTTTATTCCTCTCTTACTTCTTTCTTTGTGTCAAATACTTTTTATTGTAGTATTTCAGTTCCTCTACTAATTTTTTTAGTGGTTGCTTTAAAAATTATAATATACATTTTAGTTTATCACAATCTAATTCAGATTAATACTAACTTAATTCCAGTAAAATGGAGAAACTTTGCTCCACTATACCTACATTTCCTCTACCTTGCTTTGTCTATTATTATTATACAGGGTCTGTCCAGAAGGTATCTAGCCATGTAGTATGAAAAATATAGACATTTATTGAAGAAAATACAAGAAACACTGTACATAGGACAATGACACCTCAGTCCCCTTACAAGTAGGCACCTTGGGACTTCACACAGTTCTCCCAATTGCCATTAGCAGCCCTGTTGTATTTTCCCGAATTTCATCAATGGTCTGAAATCTCTTCCTTTTCAACGGTAATTTTAGTTTTGGGAAAAACCAGAAGTTGCAGGGCACCAAATCTAGACTGCAGAGGGAGTGAGTCATCTCGATGATGTGATGCTTTAACAAAAAACTCTGCATGAGGAGTGATGCCTGAGTAGGCACATTGCCGTGATGAAGCTGCCAATCACCAGTTGCCCATAGCTGCAGCCTCCTGAATCATCCAAATAGTTTCTAAGGAGGAATGCTCAAGCTTAAAACAAAATTTGATGCAGATTCATTACTTTACTCCCTCAGTCATTTTGAATGCAATGATCACAAAATACACATGCTCACTCAGTGGCCCCCTAGTACGATGAAGTCGTCATTGTTCACACATGTGCATTCCAGTCCACTCTCCTTGGCTGCCAGGTTACACTGATGTCAGCGCAAACCATTCTCATCATATTTACAATGGTTGGACTTTTCTGGGCAGAACTCAATACATGTTGCATTCATATATGTTATAAACCCAATAGCACAGTGTTATTATTATTGCTGCATATAATCTCATGTCTTTTAAAAGAAGTTTAGAAATGAAATGAGAAAAAATATATATTTAGTCTTTTGTACTAACTCCTATTTACCATTCTAGGATTCTTCATTTCCTTCTATAGAGTCGAGGTATTATATGGTGTCTTTTCCTGTCAGCCTGAAGGACTTCATGTATTATTTCTTGTAAGGCAGGGTATTTCTTTATTTCATCTGTGTTTTGGAAGGATTAAAAGTTACTTCTTTTCAGCACTTTGAGTATGTCATTTCACTGTCTTCTATCTTCTTTTTCCTTTTTTTGTTGAGGTGTAGTTGACATACAACATTATATTAGTTTCAGGTGAACCACATAATGATGATATTTGTATATATTATCAACTGATCATCACAACAAATGTAATTAACTGTCTTCTACTGTTTTTGATGAGCAGTCATACATTAATGTTCCCTTATATACAAATAGTTTCTCTTTCACTGCTTGCAAAATCTTCTTCTTTGTCTTTCAATAATTTGCTCATAATGTGTCTATGTGTGGATCTCTTTGTATTTTCCTACTTAGGGTCCACTGAGTTTCTTCAATCCATATCAAGGTTTTTCATCATATTCAGCATTTTCAGCTATTATTTCCACCAATATTTTTGCTGCCCCTTCCCCTTTTTCCTTTCCTTCTGGAACTTCCATTATATGTATATCGATATTTTTTTTCACTTTGATATATTTGATACTCTCTTATAGGTCTCTGTAGCCCTGTGCATTTTTTTCATCTGTTTTTCAGAATGA